TAGTGAAAATTTATTTTCAATAAATAATTATTTTAAATCCTCTGATGAAAACATAATTATACAATACATACCATTTTCCTATTCATATAATATAATATTAAAATATTCAACTTATATTAATCCACATCATCATAAACAAATTAATCAATACAAAAGTATTTGGGGAAATCATAGTATACGATCAAGTTTATTACAATATTTGGAAAAACAATGTTGGATTGTTTCTTATCTTTTGCAAAGAATAAATAATGAAAATCCTACTATATTGGAAAATAGCTGTGATAATTTAAAACGCACTGCGTGTCTTGAAAATCTCATAACCGCATTTTGGATTAAGGAATTAAAATTAATATTTGAGAATAATCAAACTCTTACAGCAATTTACGAAAAGATATCAACACAAAAATTATGGTTTCATCTTGAACATATGTTAAAAGAGAATAAATGGAATGTCTGTTTGAAATTTATAAATGCTTTGCCAACTTATATTGCTTTAAATAATGAATTGCAATATTTTAGAGATAAAATTCTTAGTTATATTATTTCGGAAAAAAATGCTATACCAAATGCAAAAATATTGCAATATTTATATCAAATCAAAGATGTGTATATATTAAGTCAAACAATTTTATATAATGTTAATAAATGGCATATAAATATTTGTGAAAATGCATTGCTTCATATAATAAATCATATAGATAATTACAAATTACCTATACATTGTAAATTTCAATTAAATGAACTCTTGCATAGAGTGTTAATTTTTCATAAAATGCTTCCATATTGTATAATTAAACCCAATGAAACTTGGTATAATATTGCTTATTGTACAGAAAAAATTGATACATTACAAATAATCAAATCACTAATCAATGCAGATAAATATGAATTATGTTTAGAATGGATGGAATGTCAAGCATTTTCATTAGAAATACATCCTTCTGTGACTCAAGAATTCTTAATTGGTCTTTTAAAAAGCGAATCTCAAAATTTTAAACAAACTTTAAAGGTATTTTAGAAATTCTAAAAAATTAATGTTATAAATAATAATTTTTAATTTTTAATAAAATATATTTTTTCATTAGTTTTTTCAGGCATTACCTTTGGATCAATCTATTAAACTTTGCAAAAATGTATTAAAAAAATTAGAATCTATTGACTCATTGAAATTTATATGTAATTATTTATTAAAATATTGTAAAGCAATAGAAACCATAAAATATAGAAGAACTTTACTAGGAATTGATATTTTAAGTATGCTAAATGTTCAAGAAAGACCATTGTACATTCATCTCATAAAAGAACCATTATTAATATTAGAACAATTGTTAATGAATTGTAAATTTGAAAGTATTCAAAAAATATTACATAAAATTCAAGACAAATTAAATGAAGCAGAAATTTCAAGAAGTAGCTTTGATAAAATTATAAGATTTTATGCTCAAAAATCATTGGATTGTCGTGTATCTTTACAGTATGATTCTGTAGAAAACAAATCGAAAAATATGCAATATTTTGCTTCAGAGACAGAAAATACTGAGTTTATTATGCCTATAGTAGTTCCTACTAAAGAAGAATGGATACCTAATGATAAAGTATGTAGAAGATATGTATTTTATCCTTCAATATTATTGTTTTTAATTTATAATATTTAAAACTTTAATTATTTTCTATGTAGGCCAGAAAATGTAGCTGTTGTAAAAATGTTATATTTTCAATGTTTAATAGACGACATCATTGTCGTAGATGTGGTCGTGTTATTTGCGCAACATGTTCTCAACATCGCATGCAAGTATCTGGTTATCCACCTTCTGTACTTGTACGCGTATGCAATGATTGTAAACGGCAAACTATATTACAAATGCACTCTTTTCAAGGAACACAATCAACTCCAAGTAGTGAAATATTTGATTATTGGCGATTAACAAGAGATCAAAAACATAATGAAACTATTAGAGAAGAATTTTCATTTGAATATGCTCCAAATATTTCTTTATGTTTAGCTATTCTTAACTTACATTCTGAACATAAAACATATACGAGGTAATAATGAATTTTATTTATTTAATGAGATTTTCATGTAAAGGTATTTAGTAAAAATATGTATTGTTACAGTTTCTTATTAGATTGTTGCGATGAAATGAAACGTCTTCTAGAACCTGTTAGTAGTGGAAAAGTGAATCCTGAAGTTGATCACATTGTAATTATTAAAATGATACATTCTTTATTAGTAGCTGCAAAAGTTAAATGTGCTAAGCTTGGTCTTAATACTGGATTAACTCACTGCGATCGTTTTCTATCTCAAGTAGATCTTATTGCAAGTCTCATTCAATTTAATTGTTTACATTTGATTCCTTCTGATAATTTACATGATCGGACATTAATAAAATTAAGAGATCTTTTAATTGAAAAAGAACAATGGACTCTTGCTTTAGATGTAAGCACTAAAGCAGGTACATACAGATTAGATACACAAGGAGTTTGGGCAACATGGGGTAAAGCCTGTTTAAAAATGGGATATTTTCATCAAGCACGAGATAAATTTTTCCATTGTCTTGATAAGATTCAATATGATAATTTTGATGACTGGATAATTTTGTCTTATCCAAAAGAATCAAAAATATCAAATAAAAATGAAACTCAAAATCTAAAAAAAAATGAAGAAGTTAAAATGGTTGAATCAAGTTCAAAGAAAACAGAATTTTCAAAAAATCGTCCATTAAAAGATCCACCATTACTTGTAGAAATTTTACAAATATTAGATAATTTAAGTATTTATAAATATGTACAATATCCTCATCAATATAAGTTTAATCCTTCTCAAGAAATATTAAATAATTTTGGCAATTTTAAAATTGTCAATCAAAAGCAATCCAACAATAAAAATACATCTATAATGATACAAAATATTTACTATCATGAAAGCATTTATTATTTATTAACTTATGGAAGTTATAATTCAATTTTAGAATTTTTTTTGAAGCATGAGGAATTTGAAAAATGTCTTACTTTTACTTTAGAAAATAATTTAGAACCAGATTTATTTTTCAATGTAATTTATTTATATTGTTTAAGAAATGGAAGTATTGAAAAGCTTCATGAAGCAATGATAAAAAAAGATTCGAATTTACTAATTTGGAAAAAATATTTAATATATGTTTGTCATAGCTTAGAAAAAAGACAATATTTAAATATTTTATATCATTTGCAACTTTTCATGAAAGATTTTATACGCGCTGCTATGACATGTATTCGTTTTTATCTTCATGAAGTAATTAATTACTCGGATTTAAATGCTAAAGTAAATTTTTTGTTTGATGCTCAAAAACATTTAGAATCTGAGTTGCAAATTGAAACTTTAAATAGAAAAAGAAAAAAAAGTACGAGTTCAATACATAGTCAAGGAATTCTAACAATGGAAATGGAACCATTAGAAATAGATAAACATATAAATACAATTTGTAGACAAATGGAAATTACAAAATTTCTAGCAAATTGTGAAAAAGAGGAAAGAGCTCCTATTCAATATTTGAATTTATTTCCAAAAAAAGATGATAATAATTCAACTATTTCAGAAATACCAACTTTATTTGGTAATCAACAGCAAAAAATTAATTTAGCTGTTTTAGCCATTCTTTGCGGGCGAAATATCGAAGAAGGATTTGGTATAGCATTTAGAATAATGCAAGGTCTGTCAATTTAAATATGCTCTAAAAACTTGATAATTTTATTTATTTGTTTATTTAAATAATATTATTATTGCAGATTATAATTTACCACAACAAAAAGTATATTCTTTAACTGGATATATTTTAGTAATGAAAAATAATATTTCTGCAATAGAACAATTAATTAAATGTTGTCATACATCTGGGATTCCAAATTCATATATTATATCAGATTATGTATTAACACATTGTATAAAATTGTTATTAACTCATGATGAAACTGAAACAGTTCTTAAAAATAATATTTATAATCTTATTAGATTAATAACTGATATAGAACTTAAAGTAAGATAAAAAAAATGATAATACAATATAAAAATTTAATACATTTTTAAAAATTTTTCTGTTTTCAGATAAATGCATATATTGAATGTAAACAATTAAAAGCAGCATATTTATTAGCTGTCAAGCATTCAAGAGTACAAGATATAAGAAAAATTTTGAAAGAATCTGATAGGCTTGGTCAAAATGCTATTAAAACAATATGTATAAAATGGCTTCAGCAAGAACCAAAATTATAACTTTACTTTATCAAAATAAAATATTTATATGTATCTATTCTATTAAATATTAAAAAAAATTAATTTTATATAAATATTTTTAAATAATTACTTATAGATTACTTGTAGATGTTAAAATAAAAATAAAATTGAAACTCTTAACATTGTATAAATTTTTTTAAAATAATATACAAAAATATTTATTATATATATCATTTTTTGTTTTATATATTTAAATATAAGATATATATTTAATTTAATTTTATTGTTAATAATCATATATGAAATGGATATAATATGATTATAAAAAAAGAGAATATAATAATGAAGTTAAAAAAATTTATTTTAATTAAATACATATATGATAATAAATAATATTTGTTTGATATCTATTTTTATAAACATATAATATTATATACATTCAAAATAAAATCTTTTTTAATAATCTGTAATTGTGCTTATATAATATGATAATAAAAAATGTTTTGTTTATGAATAAATAGAAAAAATCTATATAAAAAGCAGATCTCAGAAATAATAGTGGAATGTATGAATTTTATAAATTCTATTCTATCAAAACTATTACGAATCATTTAAAATATTTCAATTATTTTGCATAACATATTACATTTTGTTAAAATTTACATAAGATATGAATATCAAATCTACTTATTAATTACACATTTTTTTTATTGAATATTTTCTTATTCCTAAGAATAGAAGTTTATAGAAGTTTTTAAAAATTAATTCCACAATAATAAAGAATATTATATATTTTTGGATATTTGTTTATGATTTTTCTTCTTCACATACCAATGTTGATAATTTTTCATCATATTTTTCTGCAAATACAGCATCAGTATTTTTTATTGATAAAAGTAAATAATCTTTTTCTTGTTGAGACCAATTATGACTCCATTCTCGAAATAATTTTACACGACATTGAAATAAACTTGGTGGTCTATCAGACTCATTTGTATGTCCTAAACTTTCCATTTTAGATACTAATCCATTAACAAGACCTGAAGGTCCACATTGTTCCAAAAGTATATCCAAAAAATCATTTCTTTGCATTTCAGACCATTCTTGAAACCATTCTATTACATAGCGCAGTTGAGCTTCATTTGAGAGCATGGTAGACATGTTCTTTAATAAAATTATATGATATTAATTAAATTGTAATATATCTAAATAAAATATAACTAAGAATAACTAAGAATGCTGATATTGTATACTATGACAAAGTTAATATAGAAAAAATGAAAAAGTTATAAAATTATAATTATTATATGTTTGTAATAAATTTATGTAACAAAATTATATTTACTTTTTGTTATTAACGATACTTTCTTCACTTATTTTCGATTTATTATTTCTAACCATCACAAATTCTTATTTATAAATACACAAATACATAATGATACTAAAATATAGAATTTTTAATGTTAAAATGTAATATTTAAATACTATACAAATTTTGTAATTATGAAATATTTGTATTAATTTTTAATCCGTTAGTTTAGATTTCTTAGGGTTAACTTGAATCTCGTCTTCAAAATCCGAATCGCTTTCCGACACTAGCTGATCTAAAATTGACAAGAATCTGTTAATTCTTATAAATTTCCAACTAAGTAATTTTTATATATATATATATTTTTTTTATATATATTTTTTTTTATTTACTTTCTCTATTATCAGAACTATTTTGATTTTTAATAAGACTAGTTAAAAAATCGTTGATTTCAATTTGCGTATTTTTCAAACAAGAAATTAAGCTATTCAAATTATTTGCATTTAACACTACATTATTATTATTTTCATAAATACATTTATCTGTTTTATAAATTTTTACTTGTATACTTGTATCGCTCATTTTGATGCAATATTTGCTATATTCTCCATTCACGAAAAATTTTCATAAACGCCAAACTTGAATAAGGAAAACTACACAGTTTCTACAAATCAAAGACATTTTAAATTTTATTATTATGTTTTTTTTTACTATATAAATTTTTAAAAAATATTTACATTAATAAATAATAATAAATTAATTAAACTATATATAATAGAATTTCTAAAACCATCAATAAGAATATATAATATATTATAAATATTTAATCAACGTATATACAAAATTGAAAATATTTCGTCGTCAACATGTAAATTCTCCATAATATTAAGTTCTTTATAGTATCATTGTCGTTGTCATTTGGAGGAACTAAATGATCGAATATTAACATAATAAAGTGTTACACTATTTATATTTAACAAATTTTAAAAACATATGTTGAAGTTAACAAAATGGTTTTGCTGGAAAATGATGCGGTAATTGTTCATTCATAAAAAATTAATATTTCGAGACTTATATGTTACATTTTATTTCAGTTTTTAGTGGAGTTGACACGACTTTTCGACAAATCTCGACTTTCTGGTTCTGTAGTACTTACTATTAAAAGGTGTAAGTATTTATATTAATTTTATAAATATAATTACAATGTAATATTTATTCGTAAATTTTACCTTCAGTTAATGGACATAATAAACCAGTGCCTAGAGAAGGTAGACCTCCCTTACCAACACCAAATGAATTTCTTTGCTTAGTAAGAGCTACATTAAGGTCAAAAAAGATTTCCACTGTTGTATGTATAATTTATTATTTTTTTATTATTTTAATTATTATTAATTAAAATAATAAAAAAAAACAATATATAAATAATTAATTTTATATTTCAGATACATTCTAAAGATGTAAATAAATTTCAGCAAGCATATTGGAACTTATTAAAGTCAAATATCAATGGTCTTAAAAAATTGAAAAAAGTAAAATCTGTAAAACCTAAAGTTCATTGATATTTTGATACTCACTATTTAACATTTATGTATTATATGTGTTATTATTAAAACTTTTGATTAACATGATACATTTTATCATTAATGTATAATGCAATACTGCCTAAGAAATAAATTACATTTTACAATATAAAACAATGTCAATATAAATAAATTGTTAAATTTTTATAAATAAATATATGTAAAATATAATTACAATCAATCTGATTTTTTATTATATTTTTCAATAGATACGATTTGTTGCATACCATAAAAGAAATAAATATATCTATTCACCAATCATCGATCGACAATGAATAAATATCATGACACTAAGTTTAAAAAATTATATTAAACATATCATCAAGCACATTATTTATAAAATTTTATATATATATTTTTTTAATCTCTAATAATTTTTTATTTTTATAATACTAATTAATTAAAATCATTATTTATTTCACAATTATTCGTGTTTAAATATTATACAACAAATATTCTTTTTAATTCAATTAATTCATTTTTAAATAATATTGAAAATTGCAACATTTAAAAGTATGATTTATATATTAAATTATTTTTAACCTAAATTTAAAAAATATTTATAGAAAACAAAATAAAAATATGGAAGCACATATATATATATATATATATATATATACATATATATGCCCCTTGACATAGGCCATTTTGATGTGCATTTAGGTTTGCAGGGATTATTTTTCCAGGGGCAGTGCAGGTGATTGAGAAGCTTAAAAATTAATAATAATCAAACGATTGTCAAAAATTTTTATTAAAATTTTTGTTCCATTTTAATAACTTTTAATTAAAATTATTAATAAGTTGCAAATATACTTGCTAGATTGTAGAATATTATAATTTATATGTATAATTCTTAAACACACGGACTATAAAAGTACATATTTATATTTAATTTTTAAACAACATAAACGATTCTTTCGTTGCTTAAATTATTAAAATCAAAAATTATGGAGGAAATAATGGGTATTTGTATCTCTTTATAATAAAAATAATATATTTTATATTAATTATTACGTAGCATATGACATGCGTCATTTTTGTTATAGAAATCGTGAAAGTTGAAAATGCAATATTAATGAGAGATGCAACTCAATTAGAAAAATTATTTGGTAATCACAATGTACAAGTATGATATACAAATACTTTTAAAAATAGCTATGGTATTAATGTTTAATTTTTAAAGTTTCAGATATACAAGAAACTATTATAATGTCTACGGAACAAAAAGAATCCACTGACATGAAAGGTATGCTATAGTAAATAGTTATAATTGTTTGGTAAATGTTTATATTTATATTTTTTTTTTTATTTTGTAAGTTTATTGTTTTATTTTATTTTTTTTATTTATTATAATTTTTTTTTATTATACTTTACAGTTATTACTCATGATGGTCAAATTATACAAATTATAACAGATTATGAATGTGTTACGTGTCATCATGTTTTTCATTCGGAAGATGTAAGAGTTTGATTTTATTTAACATTATTATTTATTAACATTATTATTTATTAACATTATTATTTATTAAATATAATATATATATTTTTATAAAATTATTTATTTTTAATAGATGCTAAAAGAACATTTAAATGTATGCAATGAAGATGCTAATATTTTGCAATTAAATACTCTTGAAAATTATGATTCAGAAGATGAAAAAAAATATGATAATGTAAACTATGTTGATAATTCTAATGTAAAAGGTATTTTGAATAAGATTTATTATATAATATTTTATTGAATTATTTTAAAAAATATATTTTAAATTTTAGATTCTAGTTCTAATAATCAAGAAAGTAACAATTATAAGCCAGTAATTATGCCAGTACGTGATACACAATGCCATTGCTGTGCTGAAGATTTGAGCACTGCACACAGTGGTGGTGAATTTATTTGTCAGCATTGTGATCTTTCATTTAAAGAAAAGTCATCTTTAGAAAGACACAATGTAGTAATCCATTGGCAGTGTGAGTCATGTACTTGTAAAGACTGTGGACAATCATTTTGTGACAGAAAATCATTGAATAGACATCGTTATACCAATCACGCAGATCGAAAAATTTTCAGGTAAATTGAATTACATATTAGTATTAATATTATTAATATAATTAGTATTATTGTATTGAAATCAAGGAATTAAAAGAATGTAATATAACTTAAAATTTTTAAAATTATAGATGTGAACCTTGTGATACTTATTTTTCACGAAGCTATCATTTAAATCGCCATATAATGCAATCAGGATGCCATGGAAATATTCGTAATACATTCTGCTGTCAAGTAAATTTTAATATATAGTATTTATAATTTTTATATACTCAAACTTTAGTTAATTTATTAATTACCTATTTTAATAGATTTGTAAAAAGATATTTACACGTAAGGATAATTTACGTGAACATTTACGAATTCATGCTGGAACTCCTCAGAGACAAAAAAAACCTTGTAAATATTGTTCTAAGGAATTCTTTACTAATCAACAATTATTAATTCATGAACGTGTACATACAGGAGAACGACCAGTTCAATGCGATTTATGTCCAAAGACTTTCTTATCTTCTCTTGCATTAAAGAAACATAGACGTATACATACAGGAGAAAAACCATTTGAATGTAAATATGTAAGTATTATTTATGTGATGAAATGAAATCTAATTTTAATAAATTATATCTTTTGGCATTATATTTTAATTATAAGTTCCAATATTTTATAATATTAATTTTCTTATATAATTTTTATAATTACAAGCAAACTTCGTATACTTCGGGAAATTAATGTAAGTTTTTAATGCAGGATATATATGATATACAACAAATAAATTTAATTAAAATATAAACATTATTAATTCAATTTAATAATATAAAAGTAATAATTAATTAATTTATTAATTATTATAGTGTCAAAAAAAATTTACTGCCCGAGAAACTTTAAATCGTCATCAAAGGACTCATACTGGCGAGAAACCTCATGTTTGTCAATATTGTGCTAAATCATTTATTCAGGCCGCTCAATTGAGAGCACATGTATTTCATCATACTGGTGAAAATGGTTTCTATTGCGATGTATGTGGAAAAGCATTTAATAGAAAAGCTCGTTTAAATGTTCACAAAAAATTCGTTCATGAAGGAGCAACTCCATTCACATGTCAAGTATGTGAAAAAAGATTTATTAGGAGAGAAGATCTTGTTAAACACGCAATACTTCATACAGGAATTAAAGGTAAAAAAATTATTGAATAATATTATAAAATATAAAATACAATTAAAAAATATCTTTTCATTATAGCATTTAAATGTGATAAATGTACAAAAGCTTTTTCTACGAAATCTTCTTTGCAAGCTCATCTAAATACTCATAGGCGAGAACCACCACAATCTTGTGTTGAATGTAATAGAGTTTTCATACGACAAGATTGTTTAATGAGGCATATTAAAGCAAAACATCGTGATTTGCTAGAAGATGTAATGAATGAAGTTGAAAGAAAACATTTACAAATACAATTATATAATATTGCTACTGTTGCTGTACAAAAAACAAAGAATGGAAATTCTACAAGACTTTCTCCTGATAAATTGGTGGAAGCGGTTACAGATCTTTTAAAAATATTAATTGATGAAGATACACTTCAGGTATAAATTGCAATAATAATAATTTAATATTATAATAATTATATTAAATAATTAACATATATATATATATATATATATATATATATATACACACGTGTATTGTACAGCTCTTTGGATGGCCTGAAGCTCCAGTTCAAGATATTCTAGAAGCTGTAATTAGAAGATGTGGACACCAACCATTAACATCAGAAAGTAATTTACTTTTTAATGAAAGATTAAGGGAAAATATAAAACGTTTATTTATGGTTGTCATAGAAGATAATACGGTAAAATGTCTTTTAACAACAAGTACAATAGATGATGTTATTATACATGTATTACAACTTTCAAAGGAAAGTACTGCAAATTCATAGTTATGAAAAAGACAAAAAAATAAAAATTAATTAATTTCTTATTTGCACATAAAGTATTCATTTTTTAATTAATATTAAAAAATTTCAAACAAATTTTGTTTTGAAATTATAAAATAATTTGTCATCTTTTTTTAATAATACATTTGCTTTTTTATATTTACAAAAATATTGTATTAAAAAATTTTATGAATTATGTTTATTAATGTTTGTTAAATATAAATTTACAATTAAATTTATTGATATTTTAAAATTATATTTTAAAATTATTTTTTTTTCTATCTTTTTGTATAATATGTATTATTTGCAAATCATAGATATGTGCTCTTTATCTATTTGTAAATATTTATGTGTCTAAAATATTATTATAAAATATTATTATGTTGTATTAAATATAAATTTTTCATTTAATAAATGATTAAAAAATGAAATATAATGATTAATTAAATATATCTTCAAAAATAATTTTTTTTTAAATATTTATAAAAAAATAATTTATTTTGTATTATTTGTTTAGAATTACTTTTTTATTGTTTATTTTATATTATTTGTATTACTTATTCAAAAAATATATAATTATAAAGTAAATAAATTTATAAGTAATAAGTAATAGTTTAAAACATAAATTAATCTAATAAATTAAATTAAAGTAAAACAAAGATAATCTAATATTTTGACAAAATAATATTGTATTTATTGATTTAATATTATTTAATATAATATTATATAATATAATTCATTTTAATATTATTTAATATAATTCGTTTTTTTATTTTATTTAAATAAAATTAATGTTGTATCAATTGCATTATACGTTTATGTTTTTCAATTTCCTTTTCCTTGATATTATAATATCTCGATAATTATTTAATTCATTTGTTTTATTTTTATGTAAGGAAAAAATAGATGAAAATAAAATATCAGTTTTTTATTAAATATTTTATTTCATTAATAACTTCAATTTTATTTTTTTATCTATACAACAACAGTAATAATGTGTACAATTTTTTATATAACTTTATATATGTTATATTTTTATGATGCATATATTTTATAATTTTATAATTTTATGTAAAATTAATTTAAGTGTCATACATAGTACCATATTTTTTTGTAAGATAAGACTATAAGTCTTTTATACATTTATTTCATAATAATTATTGAATAATAAGTTTAAACTCAACTTAAAAGATACATTTACATATGTATGTATACATAATCTGTACATAGGATTTGATGTGTCCAACAGTTATTCTATACACATCTTTTTTTTATTATTTTTCATTCATTGTTTCGTGATACGTATAAATATAAATTATAAGTCTTTGTAATATTATTTATATGTCTGCATGTCAAAAATTTTCAAGTGCATTACATTTTATATTAAAATAATATATAAAGCAAATGTATAATATAAATAGTATAATATAGAATAGATAATAATAATAGATATTAATAATAAAAAATATTTGAATTCATTTACAATTATTTCCTTAACATTTATTGAATCTAGTGTGTAGATTAACCTTTGGACGGACTGAACTAACTTTGTTCTATTGTTATTTTTTTTTATTATTGTGTCACAATTAAATATTAAAATGATTGTATTTTTTTTTTTGTATATAAAATTATTTTTAAAATTGTAACGATTCGATAATTCTCAGATCAATTAAATTATTTATACAAAACTTTTTTAGGCTTTTTTAAATATTATTATGATTTTACATGTTAAGAATCAATAATTAGAAGAATCTTAAACTTTATTTAATTAAATTTAAATAGTATTAATTTCATTTATAGATTTTTATATTAAATTTTAGTGTAAATATTGTATTGTATTAAGTTTATAATTTAAGAAATAAAATAATTAATTCTTATAAAAACAAAATGTTTTGTTGATAAAATATACTTCCATTTTTATTGTGAATTTTTTACAAGATATAATTGTCAATATATCATTTGGTCAGAGAGCTTTCTATTGTATTTTTAATGTACATTTTCTATATTATGCGTTACACTCGACTTTCACGGATATCTGCCAATGCTCCAAAATTTCTAGGTTCTTCATCGGAATAAGCGGATTCATTTTCCAATCTGTGTGATCTAGCCTCATCAGTGCTTTGATTTCTAATGTAATATGTTATTGAATTAGATTCGATGTTGTGATTAGTTTCATTCATCTGCTCGTTTTCGGAATGCATATTTCTTAAAGTAGATTGATTTTCTTGATTTACTTGTATTGCTGGCCTATCGTTTTCATTAGTATTGTTATACCAATTTTGCGGAGTATGGCTATTATTGTGATTCTCAGAATGAGGTAATCGAACAAAAACTATACCAGTCTCTTGATTATCTCTTTGTGAATTCTCTATATTATTTCTACTTTCTTGACTAATTCTTGATATACTTCGAACTAGATTTCTCGTATTCATTAGCTCATTTGCCGTTATATTATTTGATACTTCATCAATATTATTTGAAACTATTCTTTCGTTGTTTTGTTGAATATTATTATCGGATGTGCAATAATTTCCATTATTCGATAACATATCGTTTTGTTGTTCACTCTCATTTCCGTTCATATTATAAAACGAGGTTTCATCTTGGTAAGTTCTAAGAGCTTCGAAGTTTGTATTACTAAATACTCGTGGTACCATCTCCTGGCTTAATCGATATAATTCTAATTCATTATCTACATAATAACTATCAAGTGGATTGCTAATAATTGATGGATTTCTCGAGACATTCCTCCGTGGAAAGCTTTGACTCGAGAAATTCGTTACTGTCGCGTAAGGATATGCTATCGTATTCATTGGATTACTAAGTATATGTGGACAACCATCTAAGCTTTGCATCTCAATTTCCTCTTTACTATCGTGACAATAATTATGCATATTTATGTCATGGGGAAGATTAGCAAATCTAATAATAGAATTAATTTATTAAAATTTATCAGGAAAAAAAATTTATTATAATTATCTTAAAAAATAAAATTTACCTATGTAATAAGATATCAGAATACGATGGCGGCATATCTGATTCTTCTTTTCCATAAATACTTTCATAAGTTGGTGGTGGAAAACATCCAACAGATCCTAAACTGTCTTTACTTGGCGTTTCTGCATCCATTTCAAGTATGCTACCTTGACTATTTTGCAACTGATGACGATTTATACTTCTTGGATTTCTTTGAGCTCGTAGTACACTGTCACCTAATTCCACTAAATCTAAACCTGTTCCATCAAAAGCATGGATTTTCTTTTTAAATTAATTATTGACATTTTATATTTATATAATTCTGAGAATTTTTAGAGTCTTTCTCTCTTTTTAATTATCTCTTTTTATTCAAACGAAATTTTTTTCTAAGAAGAAAAAATGATAAAATTTAATATGTAATTATAATCTTACCAGTTGGATCTGTTTGGAACTGTGTAAAGATTGTACCATCCACAACGAGCATTCTACCGTGTGGTAATAAAATAATCGTTGGTGTTGCTACCATTGTTTGATCGTTGTTGCTAAATCGTGAATCTGGTTCAGGATCCTCGAGTCGACAACAACAGTGTCGTCTGCATAAAGATCTACAGAACGGAGCACCCCAACAGCAATAAGCGAATATAAAACAAAGCACAGCAAGCATCACCAGAAGAGCGGCCACCCCTTGGCCTTGTTGAGCGGCTGCGAGGGTTGGACCACCGGCGACGCCGACACCGACACCGACACCGAATCCTAACCCTCCGCTGCTGCTCATTTCGCCTGCAAGCATTATTCTTCCCTTTAATCTTCAATTGCATCATGGTGATCTATAATAATTTAAATTAAGTTATTTCATTATATGATATTTTATAGATTTTCTCATTTTTTTGCATTTTATGCAATAAAAATTATCGATGGAATTTATCATGTAAAAGTATCATGTAGAAGTTTGATTAATCCGCATTTTATTTCGAAAAATATTTTAATGAAAAAATTACTTATAAATATCTTTTGTTTTATATGAGAAATATATTTCAATCCGCAATGCGGAATAAACAGTAATGTATGTATTTCTGGCAATATTCCAATATTAATATAAGCAAAATCTTATCATTGTTTTTTGAACATTCCAACATTATTTAGAAATGAATTGTTACAATATTCTATATTTCTTATGATTATTATAATATTATTTTTATATATATTAATTCACATATTAGTTACTTGAAATCTTTGAAATCTTTTTTACCCTTTTTCTTTGTTAATAATATAAAAAATGTGTGTTATATCTTAAATGATATATGTTACGAAAATTGATAAGAAAATCATGCTTTATTGTAATTTATTCATGAATTATGACACGTGCGAAAACCAATTTCGAATGTTGGAACGCTCTCTCTTATGCTAACAGAATAAATTTCGTTATCTGTCGGAAAATAAAGCAAGGTGAAAGTGAGAAGAATGTAATAATTATAACATATCATTGTCAATGGGTTAGTTATTTTAATATTTTCAGATTCATAAATTAGAAAATTGAAATAATAATTTAATAAAATAAAAAATTGAAAATTAATTATAATGAGAATAATAATTATTCAAAACTATTTTTAAATTATTTATTAACAAAAATATGTTAACAATATTTTTTTAAATATTTAATGTATTATTTAATAATATATTTATTTATTTAATTTGCAATTATATTTCCTCTCTTATCATAAATTTAAAACTTCTTTTTTCTTAAATTATATAATATAAATTGTGAATTGAGATAACAATAAAAAATTAATCAAATAAATACATATAATTATGCATTATCAGACATTTAAAAAGAATAAATATAAAAATTTACCTTGGGTGGTAGTGTTGTACAGCCAAGTCGTCCCCGTGGTGGTCACAGACTCCGCAATTTTGCGCGATCCGTACACCATGAAAATAATCTTCTTAAATTTCAGAGAAAAATATCCGCTTCTTCTTTTTAACGACGTTTAAACACAAAATGATTATATTGACAATCGTTATACATAACGTGCATCACATCACGCGATTCAAAGTTCCTATTTAAACTAATAACGATTCAAGAAACATATACAAACTAATTGTATCTGAACGTTCTTTAATTGTTATTGATGTGATAGGATGATTATTTTGTAAATACAATTTCATTTCTGTATTCTGTTTCTTAATAAATTGTATCATAGAAATATTTTTAGTTACAAAATTTATCGCGAATTTATTATATGGCCAAAATTAATTTAAATTGACCGAGTTTCTCATTGTTAATGACATTGCAGGAAACGATGATGATATTATGTCGTGATCTTAATGATCCTCGCGACAAACTCGCAGAAGGATCTCTTCACGAAGGCATCGAGCGTGAAGTCGAACAACGTACACTGTCATCGTGTAGATACTCTTGACCCATTTTAATATCTCCCCACTTAACATCAACCTGCTGCTTTTCGCCTTCGATGTCTTTATTTCTCAATCGAGGACATATTGGTTCAATACATTTCGTTTCTTTGTTATGTTTCTTTTTCAGTTAGAAATAAATTCTAAGATTCGAGTTTTACCGCTTAATCAATTTTTCATATCGATGGAATATTAATTTTAATATATTTTCATCTTCATCATATATTTTGGTTAATGCCATTTCTTTTCTATTTTTTTATGCCCCCATAATTTTCGCTTTGTTTTATAATTAGATAACAGAATTGAATTTCATCGATCGAAAATTTAAATTTCCCGGAAAATCTGCTGATCGATGTCATCAGACGCAGTGCGGTTTTTAAATAATGGATCGACAAATTTATAAATTTGCGTTTGGACATTCAAAAAAAATAATATTTAGATATTCGTTGTTCGAATTTTATAGAACATTTAATAATAAATGTTTTTTTTTATTTAATATTTTTAATTACTGATAAATATTATTTAAGTATATATACTTACTTATAACATTTTATAGTTACAACAACAAATTTTTATTCGTTTTTTAATAAAATTATTATTTATTTTATATTTAAATATTCATTCATTCAATTCTTAAATCGAATTGTTGACATCCCTTTCATTTTGTAAGCTTGACGTCATTGACTGCAGATGAAGGCGCGCCATATTATTTACTGTCAGTGTATTGTGTATTCATACAATGAGTTTTTAAAATATTTTTTTTTCTGCATTGTTTAATTTCAATATAATATTTAAAAATTTCACTATCATATTTTTCAATCGAATTTATTAATTAGATCGAATCCTATTCTTCAAGATTGAAGTTATCAGTTACAAATTAAATCGCTCATTTAAAAATGAAATAATATTTTAATATCGTATGTATTTTAATATCGTGTATATATTATTATCGCACTCAAAAAATAAAATCGTATATATAATACATAACAAATCGCGAAATCAATTTTACACTTATCACTTTTTTTGTAATATTTTTATACCACGATTTATAATTATTGATTTATACGAACACAATTGATTTAAACAACACAATAATAATTTTAGATTTTTTTTTAAATTTGTTTCATTGAAAGAATAATAATTACAAAAAAGAATTTTACTTATTCGTTGTATATGGGTTATATCTATGAGGCCAATGTGTCAAATGCGTTACTACCCTCGAACTTCTCTGTAACTTGTGGGGCGCAGCACCTTCTCATGGCCCCTCGAGACTGACTTACGATTCGTCGATGTTCTACTCGGTGGCGCTTATTTGTCTATCCACTTTCCATAAATAGAATCAAAGTTAATCCTTATTATTTTTTTAATACTATAAATATTTTTTTTATTTATGTTTTAAATATAAAAAAAATTTTTTTTTAAATTTTTAATGGTCTTTATATGTTTTATTAAATAATGCAATAAATTTTACTTTAAAAATAAGCATTTAAATTTAATAATAATACATTATTGTAAATAAATAATAGTACATTGCTCTAATTCATTTATGCTTTATTTATTTAACAAAAATATTTATAACAATATTTTACAGTGATATATTTAATTATAATAGTTATAATATAATTTATTAT